TGAATCAAAAGTTTTAAACCAAGAAAATAAACGATAATCAGAAGTGCCTTTGGTCATGTTGCTAAGCCTGTAACACTAGATACTAGGGACACAAAGCGACTCTCTTTTGTTTGTCATAAACCATGATATTACGTAAAGATTTCAGTTAAGTGAATCACCTTGACTCGGTCAGCATATTTGTCCCCAAGAAATTCCTCCAAGATGATCCCGTGAGCAAGCATTTATCTTCGTAATTATCTGCCAAGCTTACCACCCCTTCCGTTATAACCTGAATCTGTACACACTTTCCTTGTATAACATTCCTTTACAATTCGAATATTTGCACATCATACCACTGCAATGTCATCTCTCACTTTCAACTGGAAGCATGTCAAGCGCTCCCCACTCCTCTACCGACAGACGATGCAGTTTATGTGCAAACAAGCAGTTTCGGGAAGCAAACAACTTTTTCTGCATAACAACCAGTTGATTTTTTGGAAGATTGTTACTGCCTTGTTTCCTAAAGCTGCTTTTATAATATTATTATCATTATGAATTAGCAAACGACAGAAAACTGGTTATCAACAGACTGCATTGCTTTTGAAGTGCATGTATCTTTAAGGTAAGCATACATCGTAACGTTATTCAATCTTCTGTGAAATGAACTTAAAGCATATCAATATCATATTCACTTACCATAATATATGACATGTATGTAAGATTATAATTATATTAAACATTATCGGAAGCATAGATTTACAGTTTTCATTTTGTAATGCATTCGCTTATTGTCCATTGTTTGTTTAAATAGGAATTTCACCCAACATTCTAATACATATACATACATACGCGCCCGCGCGCGCGCGCACGTGTGTGTGTTTATGCGCACATCGTATGTCCATTTATATATATATATATATATGTATATATACATATATGCTATATATATTGTGTATACACATTGAATATATATATGTGTATATGTATATATGATATATATATATATTAATATATGTATATTTGTATGTATGTGTGTATGAATACATGTATATACATACATACATACATACATAAATATATATATATATATACACACATATATATACACATTTATACACATATATACATATATACATATATATACATATATATACACATACATTATATACATATACATATATATATATATATATATATATATATATATATATATATGTATATATATATGTATTATAATATATATATATATACATATACATATACATATATACATAGACACATACATACATACATACATACATACATATATATATATATATATATATATATATATATATATATATATATATAATACACGCATGTGCTTATGTTTGTATGAATAAAGAAGGCGAAGAAGGAAAAAGAAAACGATATATATGTTTCATTTTCGAATGACGCTCAATCAATTTCCTCCGTATTAATGATTAGGTAAAAACAGGATCACCAAGAATATGCATTAAGGAGAGAGGAAAAAGTCAGAACCGTTCAGCAGATTAGCAGATTAAAATTACGTTGGAATGGCCGATGGATTTTGTGTTTGGACTTTCTTTATGCTTCCCAGCTTCGATTATTTCTTTCTTTTTAAAGAGTTTATTATTATTCTTAATAAAAGAGTGTCTATGTCTTTCTGTCTGTGTGTTTGTCTGTCAGTCTCTGCCTCTGTCTCTGTCTCTCGTCTCTCTCTCTCTCTCTCTCTCTCTCTCTCTCTCTCTCTCTTCTCTCTCTCTCTCTCTCTCTCTCTCTCTCTCTTCTCTCTCTCTCTCTCTCTCTCTCTTCTCTCTCTCTCTCTGTCTCTCTCTCTCCCTCCCTCCTCCCTCCCTCCCCTTCTCCCTCCCTCCCTCTCCCTCCCTCCTTTCCTCCCTCCTCTCCTCTCTCCTCCTTTCCTCCCCTCCTCCTTTCTCCTTTTCTCCTTTCCTCCCTCCCCTTCCCCCCTTTCACCACTCTTTCCTCCCCTCTCTCCCTCATTCCTTCCTTCCTCTCTCTCCTATACACATTTCCAAATCAATCCGCTAACATCTCCCCTTTATTCGCCGACCCAGACGCACGATCAGCAGCACGCACGCACGCACGCACGCACACGCAGCCACGGAAACACGCGAGGGATCGAGGTCTGCTAAGCGGTGACTCATCAGTTGCTACACTTGCGCAGAAAGGGAAGAGGTGGCGAGAGAGAGAGAGAGAGAGAGAGAGAGAGAGAGAGAGAGAGAGAGAGAGAGAGAGAGAGAGAGAAGAGAGAGAGAGAGAGAGAGAGAGAGAGAAGAAGAAGAAGAAGAAGAAGAAGAAGAAGAAGAAGAAGGAAATAGAGGGAGAGGGAATGACAGGGACAAAGGGAGGGAGGGAGAAAAACAGAGGAAGAAAGAAAGAAAAGGGGAGAGGTAACGGGGAAAGCAGGTAGAGAAAGAGTGAATGAAAGGGCGTGGAAGAAAGACAGCAACAGAAGAATAAAGAAAAAAGAGAGAA